TTTAATCGAAATCCAGATGTCATCTGAGCGCCGCGGGGGTTCTTATAAGCAGGTGGGGGGCTTGACTGCGAAGCGTAGTGTAATGACTGAGATATACATCTCCACAAAAATAATATTTTACCTACTTCCTTAATATTCCCAGCCATTACGACCATCCCTAAAGGAAGTTCCTGGTTTAGAGACATAAATGTATTTTGTTCAAGTTGTATCAGCGCGTATATTTTTATCCACGGAAACAATGAGATTCAACCGAAATAAGTGAGGTTAGAGATGCATGTTAAGGGCACGTGGAGTTGGTATCTCGAGGCGGTAATGAAATGGTGACGTGTATGCGTTTAATACGGAAGCCTTTTAGGGCCATTTGTTTTATTATTTTTGTTTCTTGAAATATCAAGATACTAACTTGAAATTTCAACACATCTTGAAATTACAAGTTAGTATTTTGATATACTTGAATCATGTGTAGCATTGGTCATATGTAGTGTATATACTTGAATCATGTGTAGCATTGGTCATATGAAGTGTATATACTTGAAACATGTGTAGCATTGGTCATATGAAGTGTATATACTTGAATCATGTGTAGCATTGGTCATATGTAGTGTATATACTTGAATCATGTGTACATTGGTCATATGTAGTGTATATACTTGAATCATGTGTAGCATTGGTCATATGTAGTGTATATACTTGAATCATGTGTACATTGGTCATATGTAGTGTATATACTTGAATCATGTGTAGCATTGGTCATATGTAGTGTATATACTTGAATCATGTGTACATTGGTCATATGTAGTGTATATACTTGAATCATGTGTACATTGGTCATATGTAGTGTATATACTTGAATCATGTGTACATTGGTCATATGTAGTGTATATACTTGAAGCATTGTAGCATTGGTCATATGTAGTGTATATACTTGAATCATGTGTAGCATTGGTCATATGTAGTGTATATACTTGAATCATGTGTAGCATTGGTCATATGTAGTGTATATACTTGAAGCATTGTATCATTGGTCATATGTAGTGTATATACTTGAAGCATTGTATCATTGGTCATATGTAGTGTATATACTTGAATCACGTGTAGCATTGGTCATATGTAGTGTATATACTTGAATTATGTGTAGCATTGGTCATATGTAGTGTATATACTTGAATTATGCGGAGCATTGGTCATGTGTAGTGTATATACTTGAAGCATTGTAGCATTTGTCATATGTAGTGTATATACTTGAATCATATGTAGGGCTTATACTTGAATCGTGTGTTTACTTGAATCATATGTAGGTCTTATACTTGAATCGTGTGTTTACTTGAATCATATGTAGGGCGCATATGTGAATCATATCTTTACTTGAATCATATGTCTACTTGAACATTATGTATACTTGAATCATGTCTTTACTTGAATCATATGTCTACTTGAACATTATGTATACTTGAATCATGTCTTTAATTGAATCATATGTCTACTTGAACATTATGTATACGTGAATCGTGTGTATAATTGGTCATATATTTGAGTCCAGAGCTCTTGATAAGCTTTTGATTATTTGAATATTTTACCCAGGGGTTTGGTTTTGATTGGGCATCCACATTTTTAGAGGGTATTCAAATTCTTTACTCACCCGTGTCTTGACATTTAGGTGTTTTAACTTGAAAACCTGTTTCGTAACAACAACAACAACAACAACAACAACAACAACATCTATACAGCAAATGGCCGGGACCAAAAATAAAGTTCGTAATATCCGTTAAGTTCGTTATAAGTGTGTTCGTTATAAACGTATTTTGTACACCGGTCTACGTCTGCTTGCGGCTCCCTCTCACGGGAGCCACTTTTGTTTGCCAAAACCTAACCTTGTGAGAATGGCGCTATTTTTTTTAATCACCAATCAGCGACTGTTTACGAAACAACATGTACATAGACTCGTAACGATGTGCTTTTCAATTGGCATCAATTAGTATGTTTGTCCCACAAACTCTTCGGATGTAACTGTCGGTAGGTGGTTTTCGCGATCGGCTAATACGCAACCATTTTATCTAACAGTTGTAATATACGCAATCTCTTTATCTAACTGTTGAAATACATTGTTATTTGATACGCTAGGATTTGATGTGTCTGCGTATTTCAGTGTATTTAAAGCGTATTTTAAGCAAATACGCAGCTTAGAGTCATACATCGATCAGTCTTGAGTCGTGTATGTACTTGAATCATATGTTTCTTGAATGACCTGTATACTTGAATTATGTGCATATTTGAATCATATGGAGGGCATATACGTGAATCACATTTTACTTAAATCACGTATATGCTTCAATCACACGTGTACTTGATTCATAGATAGGGCATATACGTGAATAATATCTCGGTCTTGAATTATGTATATACTTGAATCAGATAGACACTTGATTCACATGTAGGGCTTATACGTGAGTAATAACGCAGTCTTGAATCATGTATTTACTTGAATCAGATAGATACATGATTCACATGTAGGGCTTATTCGTGAGTAATAACGAAGTCTTGAATCATGTATTTACTTGAATCAGATGTATGCTTGATTCCAATGTATAATTGATACAGATGTAAGCCATACACGTAAATCACAGATTAGTCTTGAATCAAGCATTTACTTGAATAGAATGTTAACTCAACATGTACATGCATAATTTCATTATGGATTTTGCCATCAATGTTTAACTTCTGTAGTTTCCCAAAACAAGTTTGATTACAGTTGATGCCACAGAGTGTGGCAGCAGCCTCAACAAACGCTATAAATGTTGGGACAGATTATGTAAGGAATTCTCAACCTTGAAGAAGCACGCATAGGAGTAAATGAATACGTGTTAGTTTGATTTTGAAGGAAAGCCCGATGTGTGTGCGCGCGTGCGTGCGTGCGTGCGTGCGTGCGTGCGTGCGTGCGTGCGTGCGTGCGTGCGTGTGTGTGTGTGTGTGTGTGTGTGTGTGTGTGTGTGTGTGTGTGTGTGTGTGTGTCTGTTTGTACTAGTCCGGACTGATACCGATTTATAGTGCTAGCTCACTGACATACCATGCCGCAGTTTAACATGAATACCCCACTCAGACACAGTATACTGACTCCGAGCCGACCAGTCCTTGTTTCAGTCACTTGATGCCGGGCGCCAGACAGAGTTATAACAAGTACCTTCTTTTAACGTCTTTTGGATCGAACCGGACCTTCCACTCTCCGGGTGGACGCTCTACCACTAGACCACGGAGGCGGTCGCCCCAACATTGATAATATAAACTGAGGGGAAAATGAAAGTGTACCGAGGTTGTTTTTTTAATGTAACTGAAAATTGAAAGAATGGTGTGAATTTTGATTAAGTTTATTGAACCATCAATCATTGCTGCAACAGTTTGTAAAAAGTAATCTGTGGATGGGAAAATCTGTGTAAAAGTAAACTGAGTCAATGAAAACTGGGGAAATTAATTAATTTGCAATCATATGACCCCTGCCATGTTTGAAATGTTGTAATTTGTGCCGAAGAAAGCAAATTTATTGATTTTCAAGATCAGATGTTCACGATACCCACCAACAGTTGTGTATTATGCAAAAGCATTTTATAAAAAGTTTTTCAAAGTTTTAAATCAAATTATATATAAAATATAACTAAAACTATGTGGATGTATTCTTTGAGTGCTGACTAAGCGCCAGGACAGTTCATCTTTTGAAAATAATTTAAGGGGCGGTCGGGGAGCCTAGTGTTTTAAGCATTCGCTCGTCATGCCGAAGACCCGGGTTCGATTCCCGACATGGGTACAATATATGAAGCCCATCTCTGGTGTCCCCGCCGTATTATTGCTGGAATATTGCTAAAAGCGGCGTAAAACCATACTAACTCACTCACTCACTTGAAAATAATTTAGCTATTTTTAGATATTTTAATTTGAAAATCACACATTATGATAAAATCAACTAAGATGTTTAGTTTCTGTTGCTTCTCAGTTTAAATATATGCTGTTATCTCGCTAGTTCCATAATTTCGCGGCTATTCCCATTCTCACTTCCCCCCTCCTTTAGGTCATGTAGTGCGGAGTGAGGTACCCCGGATGTACAGAGCGTTTGCTGAAACAATGTTTCCAAGTTTGTCACCTCTATAGTAAGAATACATTACATACCCTAGTCACGAGAAACAACCATCCATTCGTTTTGATCATGTATCTCATTTACGAGAAGCTTAACCATTTAAAAAAAAAAAAACGGAGCCTATTCAACTTCCCATTAGCTGAAATATCCCATTTGATTGTTAATTCATGACAGTGACATGTCATGTGTTTACCCTTTATTGGTTCATCGCATATCAAAACACTTTAGACCGCTAGAATATGGTAGCATTCATATTCAAGATGGCCGCCAAAATCTATATTTACCTTGTTTGAATAGACGGACATTCATAATATCATTGAAATCTATCTCAGTTTAAAAAAATCTTTTGTTAAATATAGAAATGATAATACATTTATTGGGCAAGACGTCTTTGTTTTCCAGACGTGTATAATATATACCGCAAAAAATAGGAAACACTTGACTATTTCCGCTTTTTAAGCACCCGTGACAAGGAAACAGTGGCTGTTCTTTTACACGCGTGTTATCACATATTGAGTCCCCTTGTTATATTGATACCGATTCATTACCTACAGACCTTCCGCCTTTATAGCTCTGTTCAAATGTTCACTTTGATGCCTAGCCAAATGTTTCATCTTCAGCCCATTCCCTTGTAACCAGTCACTCCTCCCTCAAAGCATGCGCCGCAGTCAAACAGTCTCCCTTAATGCCTTGACCAAACATGTACATTTCCCGAATGTCCATCGCGTCGGACACTGGCCAAATATAAGTCACGTGGTTTAGAATCCACTTGAAATGACAATATATGACTGGAGTGACTTTATAAAGCTGGCCTTGTAAAGAACAGATCCAGTGTCCAAGTTTTCTGACAAGCTGATTTTTGTAGTATACAGAAACATCCTTACAATGGAAGAACTTGGAACCGTGGCTTACTGTGGGAGGATATGGCTGGCGGTGTTCAACACCGTGTTTACGGTAGGTTGTCATTTTGTCAGTAACAACCTAAGGACATTGTGTCATTGTGCTTAATAATTACTGGAATTGCCAGTAGCCTCGTGGTCAAAGTGTTCGCTCGTCACGAATAAGATCCGGGTTCGATTCTCCATTGTAGTGTCCCCCACCGTGGTATTGCCGGAATATTGCAAACAGCGGCGTAAATTCATACTCACTCACCTCTGCCAGTGCTGCCAAACCAAGCGAATGTTCAGAAATATGCATTGCATAAGTGACACTTTTATAAAGTGACTTCTAATAAAGTCGAAATGAAAATAAATAAAATTGTAATAGTTCAATCGTTATCAAATTTTATTTGGCCGGTTTAGCTGGAAAATATATTCTCATTCTGCGTAGAATGTATTTTGTGTAAAGTTTTTGAAATAACATTATCGCCTTAATGTCACTACACTGGTGTACTAAACAACGCTTATACGATCAATAAGTACATGCTTGTTATCGTATGGATTAACCACAACGAGAGCATTTAATACAAAATAAAATTACTGGTGTTTAGTTTCTATGTCGCTAAGATGTTGTTTTTGAATGAATTGCAGAATTCGTACAGGATGATTTGTTTTTCCAAGTTTCCATGAGATTATCATTGTGACGAAACAACAATATTTTATACCAGTTTTAATCTTTACCATTAACATTGACAAAACCTAATTTCTTTGGAAATACACTATATGTAGTAGTGTTACAGTTTTTGTAACTGAAGAAGATTGATACAAAAAAACAACCACAAAGGCCATTCATCTATCATCCTGTGTTGACAAAAATGTCGAATCGGTTATCTATGTTTATTACGTATTAAGTGTATAAATACAAAAGATAAAATCGGTATTTCATTCGAGTTAAATAACATTTTATAGTGGAACGACGTCGGGTCTACCTCAAGGGCATTTACTTTTTACAGAATAAATAGAACATTTGTCTTTTCTTGTCAAATAAGATGTTTATCGCATCTCGCGGCTTTATCCTCTTTGCATTACGTTAAATCTATTAAGCGGTGGTGAGGTGAGGTGAGGTGAGGTGAGGTGAAGTGAGGTGAGGTGAGGTGAGGTGAGGTGAGGTGAGGTGAGGTGAGGTGAGGTGAGGTGGGCTTTAACTTTGCGTCAAAAATTATTGCACTTATATCGTCTAAGAATTGCACTTATATAGCGACGTGCAGGCATGTGTGTGTATGGCAGCTTGTACTTGTCCGGACTAATGCCGATTTTATAGTGCCAGCCCACTGAGATACCATGCCTCTGTTTAACATGAATACCCCACTCAGACACAGTATACTGACTCAAAGCCGACCAGTCCTTGTTTCGGCCCCTTAATGCCGAGCGCCAGACAGGGTAACAACCAGTACCACCTTTTAACGTCTTTTGGTATAACGCAGCCGGGGATCGAACCTCAGACATTCTGCTCTCCGGGCAGGCGCTCTACCACTTGACCATGGAGACGTCATGGGGCAGTGGGTGTAGCGTAGTGGTTGAACCGTTAGCTCGTCCCGCCGAAGGCCCGGGTTCGATTCCCAACATAGATATAATGTGTGAAGCCCATTTCTGGTATCCCCCGCGTGATATTATATGAATATTGCTAAAAGCGGCTTAAAACATGTCTCTAATTCTAATCCTCGAATTGAAGTCTTTATATCGTGCTTCAGGAAAAAGTTCGTGTACAGGACTATCTCCGCATGCTTTTCTCAACAATGTTGTTCAATATACAGAACAATGCAAATAATCACGAAGACCAAGGCGGAAATTTATAACGTTGCTCAACGGCCAGTCACGTGTTGTTGTTTACCTGAACATCAGAACAATAGCTTGTGACGTCACAGAAGCACAACCTCTATCAGCCATCAAGGCCATCGATCAACAGCTTCATCAAATATGTAAATATTGTGATATTGCCGCATCGTTCTGAACGTAGGGTCCAACAATGAGCTGATATAGTTATCTGGAGTTAAAACAAGAAAAGGTAACAAACTTCTGAAAAATATTCTTTAATCAAATCATCTCTTTATATATCCAGTGTTTCACCGACACGTTGCACGGATATATACTTTCGGACAAAAGAAAGTGTACACTCATTTTTGATGGTGGCTAAACATGAAACAAACAAGAAATGGTTATTCAATGGTGATGTATTTGATATGAGTATATAGTTATGTTTAGGACTTGGACCATTTCTTGTGTACCCTGCCGTGATACTGCTGGGATATTGCCAAAAGCGGCGTAAAACCATACTCACTCATCACTTTCATTTTGCAGAGGGGTGGTCGGGTAGCCTAGTGGTAAAAGCGTTTGCTCGTCACGCGGAAGACCCGGGTTCGATTCCCGACATCGGTACATTGTGTGAAGCCCATTTCTGGTGTCCCCCGCCGTGATATTGCTGGAATATTGCTAAAAGCGGCGTAAAACTCACTCACTCATTTTGCAGTGTTTCGGCGACTGTTTTCGGCGTAGTAACGTTTTGCTAATGTTTGTAATATTTTGGTCAAATCCCATTTCAAGTGTACACGTTCTTTTCTTTTGCGGGCGGGTAGCTTAGTTGTTAAAACCTTCGCCGTGATGTTGCTGGAATATTGCTAAAAGCATCGTTAAACCATACTCACTCACTCACTTTTCTTTTGCCCGGCCGTATACATACGTAGTCATAAGACAAGTCCTGAACAGCCAGCATCAGAAACACTGACTATGTAGACGGGGAAATGAGAGATACAATCAACCACAGACTATGTCGAGTTGACCTTAGTACGTCTAGATACTAACACTAGTGCCGTATCAGGGTGTCGCGAGTTGTCGATGCTAATGCACATGGCAACAATGACAGGCGGTGACGGGACTTGATCTCGTGCATGTGTGACCTCCTGAACTGCAGGTGACAAACAGGTGCTCCGAGATAAAGGGATAAACAAATCTATTAGCATATCGTCACGCCTGGTAGTGACGTAAACATACTCAATACCTGGCGGTATTTAATACCACTACTGGTCTTGTGGTGACGTGAAGTGTCGAATACCTATACATGCGTAGTGGTATTCAGGTATTCAGTACCCATACTGGCCTAGTAGTATTGTAAGTTATTCAGTACCTATACAGGCGTAGTGGTATTGGACAGGTATTCAGTACCTATACAGGCCTAGTGGTATTGTAAGATAATCAGTACCTATTAGCGCGTAGAGGTATTGGACGGGTATTCAGTACCTATACAGACACAGTGGTATTGGGCAGGTATTCAGTACCTATACAGGCGTAGTGACATTGGACAGGTATTCAGTACCTATACAGGCCTAGAGGTATTGTAAGGTATTCAGTACCTATACAGACCTAGTGGTATTGTAAGGTATTCAGTACCTATACAGACACAGTGGTATTGTAAGGTATTCAGTACCTATACAGACACAGTGGTATTGTAAGGTATTCAGTACCTATACAGGCCTAGTGGTATTGGACAGGTATTCAGTACCTATACAGGCCTAGTGGTATTGTAAGATAATCAGTACCTATTAGCGCGTAGAGGTATTGGACAGGTATTCAGTACCTATACAGACACAGTGGTATTGGACAGGTATTCAGTACTTATACAGGCGTGGTGGTATTGGACAGGTATTCAGTACCTATACAGGCCTAGTGGTATTGTAAGATAATCAGTACCTATACACGCGTAGAGGTATTGGACAGGTATTCAGTACCTATACAGACCTAGTGGTATTGTAAGGTTTTCAGTTCCTATACATGCCTAGTGGTATTGTAAGGTATTCAGCATCTAAACAGACCTAGTGGTATTGTAAGGTATTCAGTACCTATACAGACACAGTGGTATTGTAAGGTAGTCAGTATCTATACAGACCTAGTGGTATTGTAGGGTATTCAGCACCTATACAGGCCTAGTAGTATTGTAAGGTATTCAGTACATATTCTGGCCTAGTGGTATTGTAAGGTATTCAGTACCCATACAGGCCTAGTGGTATTGTAGGGTATTCAGTACCTATGCAGACCTAGTGGTATTGGGCAGGTATTTAGTACCTATACTGGCCAAATGGTATTGTAAGGTATTCAGTACCTATACAGACCTAGTGGTATTGTAAGGTATTTTGTACCTATACTGGCCTAGTGGTGTTGGACAAGTCTTTTGTATCTACATAAGCCTATACGTAACATTCAGCATTCACACAGGGAGGGTAAATTGTGTCATATCAACACAATCGTTTGACAAATGTCAACACCAGTGACCTCACTGTCAACTGTGGTTTGATGCTTGTGTTGTATGTCAACACGACAACACATATTGACAGTCAACAACACGGACAGGGCCTGACTCAATATGAACACTGTAGGGAATGGTCGACCCATTTCTCATCGACCGGTAGACAAAGACCGAAAGACAGCTGCTTTGTCTATTTGAAAATGATGTCCTTCACACAATGGACACATGATATACATACTTTACATAAGTAGTTCTTTTCTGCGATTTTTCTTGTTTTGCTTTCCACACCATACCAACACCACCGCAAGTAGCTGCAAGCGAGATGGCTGAGTCAAGAAATAATCCGAGGCGCTTTCTTAATCGCAGGAATTCCTTATGCAGAGTAGCGTCCCTTAGGCGCGGCAGACGCCTGTGATCGTGGGTTCGAATCCCAGTTCGTCCTGATTTTGTTTCTAGATTTGTCAGTACTAAAGTCCCTCACCCATTCATCGATATCGAATGAAGAAAGAATCAATGTCTGAACAATTTGAACCAGTGTACTCAACATGTTGTTAATGGTGTTGTATGACCTTGTAATTCAGGTGACCCAGTCACGGGTTGGAATCCTCGTGTTATCTGATTATGTTACCAGGTTTGTCAGCACCGTTCTCGTGGGTTTCAACAAAGTGGTAAATGTTTGAGACCTTCATCGCTTTGAGCTTTTCGCATCCTCAAGCTGACACGCTGTGATACAACTGAAGCATTGTTCAAAGCAGGGTTAAATCCCACTCACTCACTCCAAAACACGTTCGACACAAACTAGTTTCAGTTGTTCGGGGTTTTAACTGATAATTAATTATCTGATATAGATTTGTGAATATGTTTGTAATGGATAACTGCATGTCTCCGCACACAGGGTGTATTTTTATATAAATACGATTGATAAAGATAATGACTCCGATAAATTTTAAGTTTTATCGATAACATCGTTATTTCACTAATCTTCGATGAATTGTCATCAGGCATTTTAAAGAAATCGATATTTCGGTCAATTATTACACAGCATTTTACCATTGTCTGTCATTTCAAGGTTAGCTGTCTCGAAGAATTTCGAAGCTGCTATTAAGCTCAAATTTAGTTCTGGTGTAAACCAGTTGAAAAAACAGTTGGTTCATAAATATATCAGTTCGTTCTTGATGAAGACGTGTGTGATAAAGTACCAGTACAGTTCACCTTGATGGCGTGGGGCGTTGCGCATATTATCAATCACCGGTTTGTCTGCTCCAGACTAAAAAAATTTACAGGTTGCCGTGATATAGCTGGACTAGTAGTGTAAAACAACAAATAAATATTAATGAAAAATGCTGAAGCCCCGCCATCTGAAACATGATGCGTATGTTTACAGATACTGGGCTCCGCCTGTTTTGTGCTGGGCAGCGTGTTGAGGTTCAGATCCGACATCTTTACAAGTTACCTGTCGGGTCTCATATCTAACGTCCAGACGGAGGAATCAGTCTTCAACTTGAGCGACTTCATCGAGGGCATTGCCTTCACCTTCATCGTCATCGGGCTCTTCATTTTCATCGTCGGCGGCCTCGGATGTCTCGGTGCTTGCTGGAAACTCAGAACATGCTTGCTTGTGGTGGGTACATGTCATGTTGATACATGCAATATTGGTACTTGTCATGTTGATACATGTACTATTGGTACTTGTCATGTTGATACATGTACTATTGGTACTTGTCATTTTGATACATGTACTATTGGTACATGTCATGTTGATACATGCAATATTGGTACTTGTCATGTTGATACATGCAATATTGGTAATTGTCATGTTGATACATGTACTATTGGTACTTGTCATGTTGGTACATGCAATATTGGTACTTTTCATGTTGATACGTGCAATATTGGTACTTGTCATGTTGATACATGCAATATTGGTACTTGTCATGTTGATACATGTACTATTGGTAATTGTCATGTTGATACATGTACTATTGGTACTTGTCATGTTGGTACATGCAATATTGGTACTTTTCATGTTGATACATGCAATATTGGTACTTGTCATGTTGATACATGCAATATTGGTACGTCATTATGATATATGCAATATTGGTACGTCATTATGATATATGCAATATTGGTGCATGTCATTATGATATATGCAATTTTGGTACATGTCATTATGATATATGCAATTTTGGTACGTCATTATGATATATGCAATTTTGGTACATGTCATTATGATATATGCAATTTTGGTACATGTCATTATGATATATGCAATTTTGGTACATGTCATTATGATATATGCAATATTGGTTCATGTCATTATGATATATGCAATGTTTGTACAGGTCATGTTGATGCATGCAATATTGGTACTTGTCATGTTGATACATGTACTATTGGTAGATGTCATATTGGTACATGTAATATTGGTGCATGTAAAATTGGTACATGTCATTTTGACATATGCAATATTAGTACATGTCATGTTGATATATGCAATATTGGTACTTGTCATGTTGGTACATGCAATATTGATACTTGTCATGTTGGTACGTGTAATATTGGTACATTATTATATAAGCAATATTGGTACATATCATTATGAAATATTCAATATTGGTACATGTCATTATGACATATGCAATATTGTTACATGTCATGTTGATATATGCAATATTTTGTCATGCGCGTAATGTATTTTTGCATAATTATGTCATGCGGTTATATAATGAATATTATTACAGTAAGGTGATACTTCTGTCTGTGTTGCAGTACGCCGTGGTTGTGGTGATAGTGTTGGTCGCGCAAGTCGTTGGCGTCACCTTGATGTGCACCCTCAAGTCACAGGTAAGGCGACTATATGGGGGCTCTAGACCATGAACAGAGATGCCGGTTCTTCAGCAACCCATTCTTGTCGTAAGAGGCGACTAGCGGGATCGGGTGGTCAGGCTCGCTGATTAGGTTGATGCATGTCATCGTATCCCAATCGCGTGGATCGATGCTCATGATGTCAATCACTGGATTGTCTGGTCCAGACTCGATTATTTTCAGACCGCCGTCATATAGCTGGAATATTACTTAGTGCGGCGTTAAACAAACAAATAACATTGCACACTACCATGCGTTTAATTAACGCTGTCTAGCGTAGTTCGGTCAATGGTAAAAGTTGTTAAAGAAATGTTTAGACAAACTCGCTCATTTACACGTGGACTTTATATAATCATCTTCTTCAGTTTGAGGGGGCACGTGTGGCCTAGTCGTCTGATTATGTTTCTGGGTTTGTCAAGACCATACACGTGCACGTGGGTTACACCAAAGTGGTAAACGTCTGAGACCTGCATCACTTCGGGCTTTCCTCCCACATGAAGATGACACTGAGTGATATAACGTGAATATTGTTCAAAGCAGCATTAAACCCCTCACCCACTCTTCAGTTTGACATCAGCCTAAAGACGATGTTAAAGAGGACGTTATCGTCCAGCTACACCGGGGACATCGGCACCGACCCCGTCACCCTCGGCTGGAACTACCTCTTCGTGCAGGTACGTGTACAGTAGAAGTTTTACTGAATTCACGTTACAGATTTAATTATCATAGGAGTATGTGAAATGTTGAACACATGTAATTATAATTTAGTCAATAGTTTCCAAAGTAAGAGGTGATATTCTATTGTGACTATTTAATTTCTGTGATTTTATTTGGACTAGGCAGTGGTTGAGTCTGTTGCAACGATGTACATGTTGAAGGTTGATTGAACTGTAGTTGAGTCTGTTGCAATGCCGGACAAATAGTTGGACTGGGCAATGGCTGAGTCTGTTGCAACGATGTACATGTTGAAGGTTGATTGAACTGTAGTTGAGTCTGTTGCAATGCTGGACAAATAGTTGGACTTGGTTGAAGTTTGATTGAACTGTAGTTGAGTCTGTTGCAATACTGGACAAATAGTTGGATGGGCAATGACTGAGTCTGTTGCAACAATGTACATGTTGAAGGTTGATTGAACTTTAGTTGAGTCTGTTGCAATACTGGACAAATAGTTGGACTTGGTTGAAGTTTGATTGAAACTGTAGTTGAGTCTGTTGCAATGCTGGACATACAGTTGGACTGGACAATGGCTGAGTCTGTTGCAACGATGTACGTATTGTAGTTGAACTATGGTTGAGTCTGTTGCAATGATGTATGTGCTGCAGTTGAGTTGCTGCGGCGTTGACAACTACACCGACATCTACACGGCGACTCACTGGAATCGGACAGTGTCTGAGGGGGGTCTGACCGTCTATCTGAAGACACCCTTCACGTGCTGCAAGCTGGAGGGAGAGTACCCGGACATGGACTGGCCACTTGACCCCTTCTGTGCCCTGAGTCCGAACGCCTCCAACTCCAACTACAACCATGTGAGTATCAATACTGCCTGATGTCAACAATACTGCCCGATGTCACCAGTACTGCCTGAATCATACACCCGGTGATAACAGTATACGTAGTGCGTGATTCATATACCTTGGTAAAAACAATGCTACCTGAATCATATACCTCGGTAGAAACAATGCTACCTGAATCTTATAACCCGGTAGAAACAATGCCACCTGAATCATATACCTCGGTAAAAAACAATGCTACCTGAATCTTATACCCCGGTAAAAACAATGCTACCTGAATCATATACCTCGGTAATGCTGCCTGAATCATATACCTCGGTAAAAACAATGCTACCTGAATCATATACCTCGGTAAGAACAATGCTGCCTGAATCATATACCTCGGTAAGAACAATACTGCCTGAATCATATACCTCGGTAAGAACAATACTGCCTGAATCATATTCCTCGGTAAGAACAATGCTGCCTGAATAATATACCTCGGTAAAAACAATGCTGCCTGAATCATATACCTCGGTAAGAACAATGCTGCCTGAATCATATACCTCAGTAAGAACAGTGCTACCTGAATCATATACCTCGGTAAGAACAATGCTGCCTGAATCATATACCTCGGTAAGAACAATGCTGCCTGAATAATATACCTCGGTAAGAACAATACTGCCTGAATCATATACTTCGGTAAAAACAATGCTGCCTGAATCATATACCTCGGTAAAAGCAATACTGTCTGAATCATATACCTCGGTTAGAACAATACTGCCTGAATCATATACCTCGGTAAGAACAATACTACCTGAATCATATACCTCGGTAAGAACAATACTACCTGAATCATATACCTCGGTAAGAACAATACTACCTGAATCTACACCATCGCCCCTTTCATACGCACTGAAAGTGCTCAGTATTGATAACTGACATACTTAGCATGGTTTAACTGCTCAAGCTATTATTACCTTTGTCGGCTCTTTCTTTCTTCTAAATCCATGTTTTATTAATGTTCTAATTTATGTTTTTGAAGGAAATACATATAAGAGTGTTGATTCGTAAATAAGTGTCAGATATGTTACGGCCCGAAAATATCCGAGTCACATGCTGAAATTCAAACCACGGACTGCCGGACCCGAGGTCAGACACATTGTCCACTTGACCAAAGCGTTTAACCCTGTCGGTGGACAAGGGAAGAATGACGTAAGTCTGTCATACAGGCCCTGAAACTAATATATCCAATACAGCCCATGCAAGTCTATAGTATTTGGCAAGTCTAGATTACTGCCACTGAAGAGAGTCTCTCGGCTCCTTTTTATTTTATTTCATAATTATAACTAAACAACTGTTTCTATCTGCAAAATATGTTCGTTTCAGAGACTAGATGTTAGTCTAGGATGTCATCTGTGGGATGAGTCCGCGCTCTGCTACATAGAGGGTGTAATAGGGGTGTCTGGTTTCAGGGTTGCTACAGCGCGCTGGAGGGCGTGGTCCTCGGCTACACAACGACGATGGTAGTGGCTGGCATCATCCTGGCTGCTGTCGAGGTGAGAAACACGTTCACGCGATACCGCTTTTTTGTCATTTACGGATTTATTATCAAGGTCATGTCGACGAAACAAATATGAATGTGTAAAACATTTTGTATTAAATAACCTCTAACAGTATCGATGGGTGAAAGAGAATAATTGTTTCTTGTTTGTTTTGTATGTTTGTTGTTTAAGGCCACACTCAGCAATATTTCAGCTATATGAAAGCGGTCTGTAAATTATCGAGTCTGGACCAGACAATCCAGTGATTGATATCATGAGCATCGATCCACGCATTGGGATACGACAACATGCATCAACCAAGTTAGCGAGCCTTATCACCCGATCCCGTCAGTCGCCTCGTACGACAAGCATAGTCGCCTTTTACGGTCAGCGTGGTTTGCTGAAGACCTATTCTACCCCGGATCTTCACGGGTCCATCCTTTTTGTTATGTTTCTTACATCACGTTACATAAAGATCTGCTTTGTTTTTTTTTTAAACATTGGGTTTATCGACGCCGTTAACAGTATTTAAGTTAAGTCACTGCGTTTTAATTCCAACTATTTTAACTGAATATTACTGTGTGAGAAAAGCTCAACAAACCAAGGATCATAATCGGTGCGAATCAAAGATTCGAACCCATACTCACCGCATCCTTGCACTGCTAGGGGACACAACCCTGCACAGCGAATTAGACAACGGAGTCACCACGGTTAAGCCAGCTATGTGGCTATGATCCCATACATATTCATGCTTCAGTTTGGACTGAATTTATAAGCAAGGCTGAAGGCCTCAGCGATGTTGAATTAGGTTATTCAAACACTGCTTTACCCTCAGACGAGCATTCCCTTGTCACGACGTAACACGTGCCAGTAAGAAGACGATGTCGCAATACTCGATACACTAATCACAATGTCCCCTGGGGCCCGGCTTGTCTAATTCGCCGATGTCTATACAGATTTGCGTCCCTTAGCATATTCAACGTTGTTAATGTCTACGTCCCGCGTTCTTTTGAACACCCTCATTAGTACTTAATGCTGATCCGTGAAAATCCGGGTTTGAATAGGTCTTCAGCAACCCATGGTACCCTTCGTTGATGCATGCCATCGTATCCCAATTGCACAGATCGATGCTCATAATGTCAATCACTGAATTGTCTGGTCCAGACTCGATTATTTACGGACCGCAGTCATATAGCGGGAATATTTCTGTTTGCGGCGTTAAACAACAAACAAAAACAAAACTTAATGTTGTTTTACACCGCAGTCAGTAGAAGCCCGCTAAACCCCGCCATATCACGCAATACCCCGCTATATCACCGAGGTTCATGCGCAGGTCTCGGGTACGAGGTCATATGATCAGTCGGGGGTCAAGGTGACTCCACCCGATCAAAATTATTCTGAAGTAGCGTTATATGACTGAAATGCTGTTTAAATGACTTTTTATGTTTTTTAGTTTGGTGATTAACGTCGCTCACATCATTATTCCAGCTGCATGGGTGCAATGTGGGTAGCCAATTTCTGGTGTCCCTGGCCGTTATATTGCTGGAATAATGCTGAAAGCGGCGTAAGACCACACTTACTCACTCATTGAGAGCTTGGCAAACCTATGTTTCCACCGGGGGCACGGGTGGCCCAGTCGTCTAAGGCGCCGCGATGCAGACGCTATGCAGAGTTGCGTCCCTTGGGCACGCCAGAAACCTGATTGTGGGTTCGAATCCCGGTTCGCCCCGATTATGTTTCTAGGTTTGTCAGCACCATACCTGTGCTCGTGGGTTTCACCGAAGTGGTAAACGTCTGAGACCTGCTTCACTTCGGGCTTTCCTCCCACATTAAGCTGACACGCCGTGATATAACTGGAATACTGTTAAAAGCGGCGTTAATCCCAACTCACTCACTCACTATGTTTCCACCTGATTATAGTATGGTGGCCGAGAGGGGACATCGCTTTTTTTGCTTTCTCGCTCTATCGCTTTCTCGCTCTGTCGCTTTCTCGCTCTATCGCTTTCTCGCTCTATCGCTTTATCGCTTTCTCGCTCTATCGCTCTATCGCTTTCTCGCTTTCTCGCTTTATCGCTTACTCGCTCTATCGCTTCCTCCAATGACTAACCATAGTCATATGAAGGAATCGGGTGTTCTTTAACTTCTTTTGAATGGTATGTACTGTAAATCTTGAAATTAACGTTAGAGTTAATTATAAATGCAAAAACATTAGCGTAGACTTAATTATCGTATTCGAGGAAACAAGCTCTCAAAATTAGAATATTATTTTGGTTGAAAGATAAATTTCTTGGTTTATGCTGACAGCCTGAAATGTTTATGTACGACAGATATATTTTTCCCGAATTTAATTGCCCATAATTAAGTGTGCATATAACGCACGAGTGCGTATTATACGCGAATAAATAAGTCTTGTGTACATTAATCAATCTGAAGGGGTGCTAATTGGGATTGTTCACTAGGCAATATATTAGCAAATATCGTTTATTAGAGCGGGGCGCGTATTACGTCGAATACGTTAATTATACTTTGCATTTATGTCTCAGAAATGACTGTTGATAAGACGGCCTCACTGAACACTTTGAACAGAGGAAATACCAACTTGAATATAAAACCAATCAACTATCTATTTCCACATTACGGTTACTGAGAACAATATGTCATCCAAAAACTAGAAATTACATAAAGGACATCCGGTAGTATTACAATTGCTTGGGTGAGGACTTCCACTTTGATGACATCTACTCCGCAAACAGAATAAACATTGATATAAGCGTTGTTTTTAGGAAAACATTATTGCTTTTTAGGAAGTACGTACTACTCAGCGCTATTGAGCGGTGTGATTTGCTATTTTTTTTGATAACTTGGCCTGGGGGCGGGGGATCCAATAGCTAAGTAGGGCCATAAATCAATCAAGTTCTTTTTTACGCAGAAATACGTGGATTGTTATAAAAGCACATATGTCTGTACTGTTAAATTATATTTAGGTAGATAGTGAGAAAATTTCAACATTCCGTCCATATGTATAATTTGAAATGCGACTGAAAAAATCTCAGCTCTCTTTAATGATTAAAACCCACATCAGCATCGGGTCGGGTGGTCAGGCTCGCTTACTTGGTTGATGCATGCCAATTGCGTAGATCGATGCTCATGATGTCTAGATCCAGACTCGATTATTTACAGACCGCGTCATATATAGCTTGAATAGTCCTGAGTGCAGCGCTAAACAACATACAAACAAAACCTGATTATAAATATAGGTTTTGCAGCACGAATCGTGTGATCGTTTGTCGGAATAGATCCTGAAACTACGGACGAGGTCAGACGTGACGTCATTGTGCCGGGAGTTGTTTGTTGATCAGTGTTGTTTGTTTCAGATTGTCAGCGTTGTTTTGGCCGTGCTGCTGTTCCGTGACCTCCATTGCGAAGAGGAGGAAGTATTCAAAGAGTAAACACGACTATCATGATTTAATAGGTGGTGAGGTGAAATGGGGTTTAACGTCGCGTCCAAGATTATTGCACTTATACAGCGACGTGCAGGCACGTGTGTGTGTGTGGCTGCTTGCACTGGTCCGAACTGACGCCGATTTATAGTGCTAGCCCACTGAGATACCATGCCGCAGTTTAACATGAATACCCCATTTAGACACAGTATAGTGACTCCGAGCCGACCAGTCCTTGTTTTAGCCCCTTAATGCTGAGCGCCAGGCAGGGTAACAACAAGTACCATCTTTTAACGTCCTTAGGTATGACGCGGCCGGGGATCGAACCCGGACCTCCCGCTCTCCGGGCGGACTCTCTACCACTAGACCACTGGGGCGGTATCATGATTTTATAACCTGCAACGCCCCAGTGCACATAGTGACATGTCCATCAAGATTCATGATTTCAAAAGTTAATGTTAATCTCAACTATACATAAACCTCTGTTATCACCGTAAACATATTGACATTATAAATTTGTATAGGATACACGTGTGGCCCAGTGACCGAAGTCGCCGCAATTTGCTGTGCAGAGTTGTCTCCCGTAGTCGTGCCAGGATTCGATGATCACGGGTTCGAATTTCAGGTTTACCCTGATCGAAAACCTTGCGCTATATCCGTCTTTTTTGAATATACCAAAGAGGTGTACATCTTAATGTATCGCCTTTGGCTTTTCGCCGACATCAAGCTAGCACGCCGTGATATAACTGAAAAACTGTTTGAATGTTGCGTTTGGCCTTATTCACTAACAACGTGTGTGACGTAATACACGTCACTGGTCAAGATGATGTTGTGGTCGAATCACGGGTATGTTTCTAGATTTCTCACCGTTGATCCCAACATTCATTATCACTTGGGGCGGCGGGGTAGCCTTGTGGTTAAGGCGTTCGATTGTCACGCTGAAGTCCCGGGTTCGATTCCCACATGGGTAGAAGGTGTCAAGCTCATTTCTGGTGTCGCCCGCCGAGATACAGCGGGAATATTGCTAAAAGTGGCGTAGAATCCAATTCACTCACTCACTCACTCACTCATTATCTCTTTCTGATGATAAACACTGGTACGCGTGTACTGCTTCAAAACTGCAACATTGTGCAGTGAAAGCAACCCTGTCCGGTATTTCACCGTTCTATAGCTAATCTATTGATTTGCCCTTATAAAGAAACTGCCAATTTCTCCACGTGCTATAATATCATAATATTCTCCTGTGGTTGCGAAATCCTCATATAAGCTGGGGTGAAACCGCTGCAACACTTGACATCAAATGTAATGAAACGTATGGAAGAATTAGCTATTGTTGATTAATAATAAAGTAATACACACGATTCAAGTAAATGCATGATTCACGACTGAGCTATCATTCACCTGAGACCTGCATCACTTCGGGCTTTGCTCCCACATTAAGCTGACACGCTGCGTTATAACTGGAATACTGTTAAAAACACCGTTGAGCCAAAATCACTCGCATACTCAAGCTGATGTAGAATGTGTCTGGGTTCTTGACTCCAATGCATCCATGTCCTAGCCCGGGCGCCATTGTTCTATCATCTGTCGTGTTACTCAATGCATTGCTCTGTGTACTTCCGTATCGAGTCAGCTATCTGCCATGAGTTGATTGAGCGACCGCTCCATAAGACCAAGGGAGAGAACTCTGAAATACAGTTGCCACTGCTGACTCAATGCACTATTACACAACGTTCAGTTCTGATAGTATTTTTGAACGCTTGTCACTGTGAACACAATCCTTCAACGTGTGCTGCGTGTGCCTTTCATAACGAATGTAGCTTCGGTGATTTCGGGTAAGAAAAGGTTCCCCGGTACCTATGCTTGTTTTAATCAGCTGGTCACGCTGGGTGTGTCATCGTACGCGGACGGCGTGGGACTTGGCTCATATTAACGATGACTGGTTTGTCTACACGATTTGACTACTTACAGGTCGGTATTCAGCAACAAACCAACAACAAACAAACTGTTGCACGCAATAGCCATGTATAGGTTTTTAAGGAACAATGCTTTAAGTTACACCAACTTTCTAAAGTGTAGCCTTTCCTATAGGGATCATTCTATAGTGTTTCCTTTCTACAATGTAGAATAGTGTAACATATTACCAAGCAACGATATAGTTACGAACGACACATGTGTTTTGTTTGTTAGTTTCTTGTTAAACGCCGCACTAAGCAACATTCCAGCTATATGACGGCGGTCTGTAAATAATCGATTCTGGACCAGGCAATCCAGTGATTGATATTACGAGCATCGATCCATGCAATTGGGATACGATGACATGCATCAACCAAGTCAGCCAGCCTGACCACCCGATCCCGTTAGTCGCCATTTACGACAAGCATAGTCGCCTTGTACGGCAAGCATGGGTTGCTGAAGACCTATTCTATCCCGAATCTTCGCGGGTACATGTGTTTTGTACACGAATGAATATCGATGTTGGGTTGTGCTTCATTCAAGGACAAGCGTGTATATGTTATGGTACAGTTTTAATATTGCAATATGTTTTTGCAAACTGAAGAGTGTAGCATTTTCTATTTTTGTATAGTCCCTTGTGCGCGCCATTGTGTTGTTTGTCGTACTCTTTATTTCATAATGTATCGACTTCTTAAAATATACTTCCGCCGTGTACAAAGTAATTATTTGTAAACGCATATAAACAAAGCAATAGGTACATATAAAGTCACAATTATGCGTGAAGAGTTGCGTCCCTTAGACGTGCCAGAATCCTATGGTCGAGGTAAAACATAACTGAATGTTCCTATAAGCCAAAATAAGTTGAGTTGCGACCTGACAATTAACCCCGTATGACTATGTATGAGGTCCGACCACTAGCGCGTACCATTGTGAAGAAAGGGGTAGCGGGTGGTCCGCGACAAGTAGTACGATGGATATATGCGTGTCCAGTCTCGGCTAACAACGAGTTCTGTAGGCTGTTCAATAGCACATAATAGTACGTGCTGATGTGAGGTACCCGATGACTGTGAAAACGATGACAGCAAATTTGCATAGATAACAACAATTAAGAAGTGTCGTGACAATGAAAGGAGTTCATTTGCTTTAAATATGGAATACATTTTTTTACACAATAATGAACAGTGTCATGTCAGTCATCAAATGATTGTGAGTGAGTGAATATGATTTTCTGCCGCTTTTAGCAATATTCCAGCAATATTACAGCGGGGGCACCAGAAATGGGCTTCACACATTGTACCAATGTCGGGAATCGAACCCGGGTCTTCGGCGTGACGAGCGAACGCTTTAACCACTAGGCTACCCTAACGTGGTTGCTGGTTCACTCAATGACATGCTCCACTGTGATTGTTGTTAGGGTTTCAGCATACTGTAAACGTAATATTGAATTTATATTGAGATAACTAGATAACCATAGCACTTGTCTTTACATTCTGATGCGGTGTCTGTTTCTGATCCTTAATCTGTATGGACTTGTCACACCGACCTCTTAATAGTCGGATGAGCAACACATGTGTCCACGGGAGCGTTGTCAATTTCATCGTCATGACCTGCACGTGCACAACATGCGTACACCCTCTCATACCTGTAACAAACCCACTGTGTTTGCTCTAATTCTTTGCATCGCCAACTTGTCTCAAACGTGTTCAGGGAGTTGGCGAAGTACAACAATGGTCAAGGGGAGGTAACTGGTTTCCTAGGTGTGCGTGACTGACTGAAGTGTCTGTATTATCTCCACTACTGTTTCGTGGCTGTTGCGGTGTGCCTGCGGTTGAATGGCTCATCCATTGCCCTTTATGTTGTCACATTTTGTACATTTGTTCAAGATGCAATTTATATATTTCATACTTCATTGTTGTTTACTTATTTCATGTTCAATAAAACATTTCACAGTCAGTTGGTTATCTGTGTGTGTTTAATAAACGTTGGAGTTGGGACATGGCACTTCGTTCACAAGGAGCTTGGAGTGCAAGCATGAGTGAGTGAGTGAGTTGGGTTTAACGTCGCTTTTAACAGTATTCCAGTTATATCACGGCGTGTCAGCTTAATGTGGGAGGAAAGCCCGAAGTGATGCAGGTCTCAGACGTTTATCACTTCGGTGAAACCCACGAGCACGGGTATGGTGCTGACAAACCTAGAAACATAATTGGGGCGAACCGGGATTCGAACCCATAATCATAGGTTTCTGGCGTGCCCAAGGGACGCAACCCTGCACAGCGAATCGCGGCGCCTTAGACGACTGGGCCACCCGTGCCCCCTGAGTGCAAGCATGGGTGAAGAACTTATACAGTAGCCGTCACTCCTGGTGTGTGACAACATGGCAACGTGATGGACGCTAGTGTGTCACTACATAGCAACGTGGTGGCCGCTAGTGTGTGACAACATAGCAACGTGGTGGCCGCTAGTGTGTGACAACATGGCAACGTGATGGCCGCTAGTGTGTGACAACATAGCAACGTGGTGGCGCTAGTGTGTCACTACATAGCAACGTGATGGCCGCTAGTGTGTGACAACATAGCAACGTGATGGCCGCTAGTGTGTGACAACATAGCAACGTGGTGGCCGCTAGTGTGTGACAACATAGCAACGTGGTGGCCGCTAGTGTGTGACAACATGGCAACGTGATGGCCGCTAGTGTGTGACAACATAGCAACGTGGTGGCCGCTAGTGTGTGACAACACAGCAACGTGATGGCCGCTAGTGTGTGACAACATAGCAACGTGATGGCCGCTAGTGTGTGACAACATAGCAACGTGGTGGCCGCTAGTGTGTGACAACATAGCAACGTGGTGGCCGCTACTGTGTGACAACATAGCAACGTGATGGCCGCTAGTGTGTGACAACATGGCAACGTGGTGGCCGCTAGTGTGTGACAACATAGCAACGTGGTGGCCGCTAGTGTGTGACAACATAGCAACGTGATGGCCGCTAGTGTGTGACAACATAGCAACGTGATGGCCGCTAGTGTGTGACAACATAGCAACGTGATGGCCGCTAGTGTGTGACAACATAGCAACGTGGTGGCCGCTACTGTGTGACAACATAGCAACGTGGTGGCCGCTACTGTGTGACAACATAGCAACGTGATGGCCGCTAGTGTGTGACAACATGGCAACGTGGTGGCCGTTAGTGTGTGACAACATAGCAACGTGATGGCCGCTAGTGTGTGACAACATAGCAACGTGATGGCCGCTAGTGTGTCACTACATAGCAACGTGATGGCCGCTAGCGTGTGACAACATAGCAACGTGATGGCCGCTAGTGTGTCACTACATAGCAACGTGATGGCCGCTAGTGTGTGACAACATAGCAACGTGATGGCCGCTAGTGTGTCACTACATAGCAACGTGATGGCCGCTAGTGTGTCACTACATAGCAACGTGATGGCCGCTAGTGTGTCACTACATAGCAACGTGATGGCCGCTACTGTGTTACAACATAGCAACGTGATGGCCGCTTGTGTGAAACAACATAGCAACGTGATGGCCGCTAGTGTGTGACAATATAGCAACGTGATGGCTGTTATTGTGTTACAACATAGCAACGTGATGGCCGCTTGTGTGAAACAACATAGCAACGTGATGGCCGCTAGTGTGTGACAACATAGCAACGTGATGGCCGCTAGTGTGTCACTACATAGCAACGTGATGGCCGCTAGTGTGTCACTACATAGCAACGTGATGGCCGCTACTGTGTTACAACATAGCAACGTGATGGCCGCTTGTGTGAAACAACATAGCAACGTGATGGCCGCTAGTGTGTGACAACATGGCAACGTGATGGCCGCTAGTGTGTGACAATATAGCAACGTGATGGCTGCTATTGTGTTACAACATAGCAACGTGATGGCCGCTAGTGTGTCACAACATAGCAACGTGATGGCTGTTATTGTTTCACAACATAGCAACGTGATGGCTGTTATTGTGTCACAACAGAGCAACGTGGTGGCTGCTATTGTGGTACAACAGAGCAACGTGATGGCTGCTATTGTGTCACAACATGGCAACGTGATGGCCGCTAGTGTGTCACTACATAGCAACGTGATGGCCGCTAGTGTGTCACTACATAGCAACGTGATAAACGCTAGTGTGTCACAACATAGCAACGTGATAAACGCTAGTGTGTCACAACATAGCAACGTGATAAACGCAGGATAGTTGCTCACAGTATCAACCACTGGTATGTCTGGTCCAGACTCGAGTACATGTAGTTACAGACCGCTGTCATATAGCTGGTATACTGATGTGTGCGGCGTTAAACAAATCGAATACCCTTTGACAATGCACAACGATAACACAACATGTACGATGTTGACCAGGGCAGATAACGCTAGCCAAACTGCGCTGTATCTCAGATAGCGTATCAAGCTTGCTCCAGCAGGATACGCAACAGAGGACAGTAACCGTCTCCTTGGCTGAACCCCTGCTCTAACATGAATCTCATCGTTAAATCTCCAAGCTTGTATTCTGGCTGTCAAATCTACGTTTTTACACTCACCTTGGGTTTTGTTCTGAGGATCATTACGTCTGAGTTGACCTCTGACCCGAGATGCTGTGGTCCCGACCAATGGGAAGCCGTGAGTCTCGAGACAGGGGGGCTGATTGACAGTTCGGCGGATTACGTGACTTTGACGGAAATACGGAGCGTTGTTCACTATGACTACCGGAACAGGAGGTTCACCGTGGAACAGAATGTCTGGAACGGAACGAGCAACGCGACCTTCAGTCAAACAGTACACATTGATTACAACAAGGTAGGTCTTATAGTACACCTTCAGTCAAACAGTACACATTGATTACAACAAGGTAGGTCTTATAGTACACATTGATTACAACAAGGTAGGCCTTGTAGTACACCTTCCGTCAAACAGTACACATTGATCCCAACAAGGTAGGTCTTGTAGTACACGTTGTATTGTGAGTGAGAAGTGTTTTACGCCGCTTTGAACAGTTACATAAGGACCTTCAGTCAAACAGTACACATTGATTACAACAAGGTAGGTCTTGTAGTACACCTTCAGTCAAACAGTACACATTGATTACAACAAGGTAGGTCTTTCAGTACACCTTCAGTCAAACAGTACACATTGATTACAACAAGGTAGGTCTTTTAGTACACCTTCAGTCAAACAGTACACATTGATTACAACAAGGTAGGTCTTGTAGTACACCTTCAGTCAAACAGTACACATTGATTACAACAAGGTAGGTCTTGTAGTACACCTTCAGTCAAACAGTACACATTGATTACAGCAAGGTAGGTCTTGTTGTACACCTTCAGTCAAACAGTACACATTGATTACAACAAGGTAGGTCTTATAGTACACATTGATTACAACAAGGTAGGTCTTATAGTACACATTGATTACAACAAGGTAGGTCTTATAGTACACATTGATTACAAAAAGGTAGGTCTTATAGTACACATTGATTACAACAAGGTAGGTCTTATAGTACACCTTCAGTCAAACAGTACACATTGATTACAACAAGGTAGGTCTTGTAGTACACCTTCAGTCAAACAGTACACATTGATTACAACAAGGTAGGTCTTGTAGTACACCTTCAGTCAAACAGTACACATTGATTACAACAAGGTAGGTCTTTTAGTACACCTTCAGTCAAACAGTACACATTGATTACAACAAGGTAGGTCTTTTAGTACACCTTCAGTCAAACAGTACACATTGATTACAACAAGGTAGGTATTGTAGTACACCTTCCGTCAAACAGTACACATTGATTACAACAAGGTAGGTCTTATAGTACACATTGATTACAACAAGGTAGGTCTTATAGTACACATTGATTACAACAAGGTAGGTCTTATAGTACACCTTCAGTCAAACAGTACACATTGATTACAACAAGGTAGGTCTTGTAGTACACCTTCAGTCAAACAGTACACATTGATTACAACAAGGTAGGTCTTGTAGTACACCTTCAGTCAAACAGTACACATTGATTACAACAAGGTAGGTATTGTAGTACACCTTCCGTCAAACAGTACACATTGATTACAACAAGGTAGGTCTTATAGTACACATTGATTACAACAAGGTAGGTCTTATAGTACACATTGATTACAACAAGGTAGGTCTTATAGTACACGTTGATCACAACAAGGTAGGTCTTATAGTACACATTGATTACAACAAGGTAGGTCTTATAGTACACATTGATTACAACAAGGTAGGTCTTATAGTACACATTGATCACAACAAGGTAGGTCTTATAGTACACATTGATCACAACAAGGTAGGTCTCATAGTACACATTGATTACAACAAGGTAGGTCTTGTAGTACACCTTCAGTCAAACAGAACACATTGATTACAACAAGGTAGGTCTTATAGTACACATTGATTACAACAAGGTAGGTCTTATAGTACACATTGATTACAACAAGGTAGGTCTTATAGTACACATTGATTACAACAAGGTAGGTCTTATAGTACACGTTGTTATGTGAGTGAGAGGTGTTTTACGCCGCTTTGAACAGTTACATAACGACCTTCAGTCAAACAGTACACATTGATTACAACAATGTAGGTCTTATAGTACACATTGATTACAACAAGGTAGGTCTTATAGTACACATTGATTACAACAAGGTAGGTCTTATAGTACACGTTGTATTGTGAGTGAGAAGTGTTTTACGCCGCTTTGAACAGTTACATAACGACCTTCAGTCAAACAGTACACATTGATTACAACAAGGTAGGTCTTTTAGTACACATTGATTACAACAAGGTAGGTCTTATAGTACACATTGATTACAACAAGGTAGGTCTTATAGTACACGTTGTATTGTGAGTGAGAGATGTTGTACGCCGCTTTGAACAGTTACTTAATGACCTTCAGTCAAACAGTACACATTGATTACAACAGGGTAGGTCTTATAGTACACGTTGATTACAACAAGGTAGGTCTTATAGTACACGTTGTATTGTGAGTGAGAAGTGTTTTACGCCGCTTTGAACAGTGTATAGTTACATACGACCTTCCGTCCAACTGACACAGTGATTACAATAAGGTAGGTAGTCGGCGTTGTGAAATGTGATTATTTAAACCGCTTTGAACAGTATTTCAATTGCCACGACGTGAAAACCGGAAATGATACGGTCTTAGATGTTTAGCACGTTGATGAAACCTAAAGGTATTGGTGCCGAGAAACAATGATCATGGTCAGTGCGAACCTGTAATTCGAACCCCTTGATCATAGGATCGTGGATCGTCTAAGGGACGCAACTCTAAACAGCGAAATGTGGCGCCATCCATGCAACTGTTATGTTAAAGGGAGACTGGACTCAATGATGTCTGTATACATTACCCTAGTTTCTTTCATTTGTGCACCCGTATTCAATTGAATCTGTACACCCGTATTCAATTGAATCTGTACACCCGTATCCAATTGAATCTGTACACATTTATCCATCTTCCCGAGGCAAGGGCGTTAACTGACTGTAAAAGTCCATATTCCACCCTTGCCGAACTAGGCTGGAGTTATGAATTATGTTTTGGCTTGATCAAAATCGCGTAACGAAATCGACAGCCGGTTTCCTAAACTGCCTTGCTTTGCAAAGCATGTATACCGTCAACTTAGCGTCAAAAGATATTGTCCAAATCTTTTGATGTGCTCACGTGATTTGATGCACTTCGCGAAGTAAGACCTATTATATTACAATATATATCTTGATTATCGATCAGATCGTCTTGAATGGGCGCCGCCATTTTGTTTGAAGCAAATGCACGTGATATTAGAGGTGGAATCTGATTGGTCAATAGGAGGGGCTTTGAAGGGACAACTCGTAATAGCCACTGGTGGAGCTACGATCGAACCCAGAAATTACAGCGTTTTTCGGCAAGGGTGGAAACTGGACTTTTACAGTCAGTTAATTCCCTTGCCTCGGGAAGATGACATGTGTCCGATTGAATATGCACACCTGTGTCCAATTGAATTTGTAATCCGTATTCAACTGAATCTTTAAACTCTGAATCTGAACATGTACAATCGTATTTATTTGAAGCGGTACTCGGAGCCTCTCTTCTATTACACTGGTGTCGGTTTAACACTATAAATTCAGTATATCGTTTATGCAGGTTTGCCATCACTGGCCTGGAATGTCGAAAGTATGCATGTGTTGTAGACAGGAGTGAGTGTGTGAGTGAGTGAGTGAGTATGGTTTTACGCCGCTTTTAGCAATATTTCAGCAATATCACGGCGAGGGACACCAGAAATGGGTTTCACACATTGTATTTCGGGAATCGAACTCGGGTCTTCGGCGTGACGAGCGAACGCTTTACCCACTAGGCTACCCGACCGCCCCGTTGCAGACAGGAAAGTACGTTTGTGATGATGTGTACGCCCCTGTTGCAGAAGCTGAAGTGGACGCTGTATGATCGGCAATGTATCCATCAGTTACACACAGAAGAGATGCCATCACCTTGCATCCCAGGTACGTCCAGTGGCCGTTCTCGTATGAGTGAGTGAGTAGGGTTTTACGCCGCTTTTAGTAATTTAACATCAAAGGACACCCATTGGGGGAATCGAACCAGGGCGTGTGGTGTGACCAGCGAAGGCTTACTCCACTGCCCCCACAACAAAAGGCTAGCCTCTGCTGAGGAAAATGAGTGAGTGGGTGAGTTGGGCAGTTGCCTAGATTTTTAATGGAAAACAGTTATATTTTAATCAAGTTGGGTACAAGTGATACTTAAACAAATATTTGCCCCCTCCCCTCCTGTCAATAAAAGTTAACTACGGCCTTGATACACAGATGATTCCATTACCTTATGTAATGTAAGTATTTGCCATGCGTAAATATCGAGAATTGCTTTCTACGCAATTAATGTAAAGTGTTGACAAAAAAGGTGAAGCAACATATCTCCGGACCAGGACCATCAGTGATATGTCAGCGGACGTGTGGTTCCTGAACGACACCAACGGTAATCGCTACACCTACACCGTCACCAGAGACATCTGCGTCCTCCTCAACGAGATGACCGTCAGCAACGAGGCCAGTACGTGTCAGCTGTACCCACCAGCACAAAGCAATCTTAGCGCTAACACCAGCACAAAGCAATCTTAGCGCTAGCACCATCAAGTAAATATATGTCTTATCGCTTAGGTCACATTGTGCAAGAGTATGTGAATGAGGCCATTTCAAAACAGTATTACTTGGTTTATGCTTTTCAGGCGTAGGTATATTATGTGTGAATGTTGTATTACGCTACGGTTTGATATCATTGCCGCTTAAAAATAATGAACTTTTGACCAGTCACTGAAAGACATAACGCACAATAAAAAATCTTTTTGTTTTACAAACAAGGTCGGATTCTGATTGGTTGAGACCCATTCTATTATTTTCAGTATACCCCGCTGAGATGTAAAGTATATTTCATATGGCCTCCGCTCGAATTGCCTAACTGTTGGCATTACATTTGCAATATACCAATCGCAATTTTGTATCTCGAATTAATGATTTAAGACGGTACTCATCAGTTTCACCATCCTCGATTATCCAGCGTTAAAATCTTCATTGAGTTGTGCCAAAAATGTCTTGATATAATGGCGATACAATACACTGGATAATCGAGGATGGAGTTGCACCTAGTGGTCAATCTAGTTTGGATAGTTCCAGAGAAGTATTGACTGGGATTACAAGGTTCCAAACTCTCCAATATACTTAAAATTCAAACAAATTGATAAGTTTATACTGATTTAACATGATAAGAACGTGTAGTAGTATTTACCTGTGAGTGAGTGCGCGCGTGCGTGCGTGCGTGAGTATACGGAAGCGAACGCGAGCGTTTGGCGTGACGAACGAACGCTTAAACCACTAAGCTATCCCACCGCCTGTGCTCCTTAGAGAACAAAGGACATTTATATTGATCCTTATCAAATATCTTTTTTCAGTATCGACGTTCTCACTGACACAATATGACAACATTTCGATGGGGATAGCAGACGACAGCGTGTTCCGACAACCGCCATCTTGTCTTCTCAGTCTCGATGTGAGGTTACAATAGAATAAATATATTTATTTTCATAACGGTTTTATGTGCTTTCCAACGTTATGTCCCCGTAGCGGAATCTTCTCGTCTACCCGGCACCTATTGTTAAGATAATCATATTAGAATTCACTCGGGTGGATTAATGCCTGAGAACAAAAGGTGCTTCCTCTTTGCTGCACCCTGTGAAATAATATCCGGGTTTCAATGAGGCAAGGGAAAACAATTAAATTTCAACTTGTTTTATTTAAAACATGATTATCGCAAACATATAACACATCTAGGCGATGAGAACAATCATGACGTGTAATATTTCATTTCAATACCCAGGAGGTGAGACTCGTTATCTTTGTATTCCATCAAATACTTCTGCACCTTCTACACATTAACATACTGTCTCGTATGTCCATCTCGATAAAGCGACGTTTTCATTCAGGGGATCTGTCACCAGCTCTCAAATGAAGACAGCGGGAGTCCACCCACGCTTGCTCTGTCTCTTAACACAGCTATCATCTTGAACAGATTAGAGTGATATTCAGGGATAAACTCACTGCCTTTCACGTCGTTTGCTGTTCAAGAGCCAAGGGTTTCGTCGTGGTACATATACTTCGGCCATGATCACCTCCCATATATCACATAATAGGCTAAAATGGGATAATGACTTTAACAATTCGTGCAAATACGGCAAAATTGTAGAGAAATGAGTTGAAGACGACAATCTTATAACTATGAACAACGGCAGTTCCACTCGTTATGACCAAGTCCACAACACGTGGAGTTCATTCGACTTCACAAATGCCACCAACAACCTCGCCTCACATTGCCGATGACAAGTCTATGATGACACTCGGGGAAGCGATCACCTTCCTATACTCACCTACATAGGTAGCCCACCACAATTAGAGGCACTGCCCAATCCTCAGCCCACATGGGACAATGCAAAGGCTAATTGGCCCAAATTCAGGAAGGAATATACATAATTCAAATCCACAGAAATTGCCGCAAATAGTCCTGATCTGTTTTGCCCAAATCTCACCTTAACAATTATAGCCGCAGCTGAAATATCAATGTAAAAAGAACCCCACAAAACCGGCAAAACTGCGGTACCATGGTGGAGAGAGAGAGAGAGAGAGAGAGAGAGAGAGAGAGAGAGAGAGAGAGAGAGAGAGAGAGAGAGAGAGAGAGACCTTAATAGGTCAAAAAGGGATAAATCAGCCTTCGTCCAAGTCCGAGCAGCCAGGACAAAAGCAAGACACCTCATAGACGATTCTAAAAAAGAATCATGGCAGACCTTCTGCAAATCTCTTAATAAAAAGACAAATGCTAAAACAATCTGGACCAAGATATATGTAAAAGCAATCAGGGGAAAGCGTAAACCTACAAAAACTGCCAAGATAGCCAACCCACATACAGTCAAACCTCTCCTCGGACTCAACCCAAAAAGTAGGAGAATCCTGTACTTCACAAAGAAAGTGTTATCCCAAATATAACATTTGCTACATTTGACCACTTTCTAAACTCCCCTAATGTTTGCAAATAATAAATACAAAAACATTTTCAATACAAGAATATGGTAACGAACATATAAGAACTTACATCCAGTCAATAGATGGTTTGAGAGTGTCATTAGATCACAAGAGAATGAAATGGCTGGGACACTAATTCTCTGACACAAAATGATTTCACACTGTACAATGGCAACCGCCGGAGTTTGCCGAGCGGTGTCGGAAATAAAGCCGGGGAAGAGAGCTGCACCAGACCGTGACATAAGCCAGTTGACGCCTCGGTGACAGCTAAAAGTCAGTACAAAACATAAGTACGGCCCCAGGTTAATCTTCAGTCGTGTAACGGAGTCTTCCAGGGAAGCAAAGAACCCATCATAAGTTGATTGCTTCTTATTTTCCCTATCCCCTAACTGTAAAACTTAAACTGCCGGGGAAAAAAAGCATACTCATGATAAATTGAATTTTACCCCAACATTAACGTTATCAAAACGTTACTAGGTCGAAACCAGCCGCCGAAACACTGCAAAGCTATGATCCAAACACAAGCATGAAACCTGCATAAAATACACCAACATTGAAAAAACATTTCTTGTTTGTTTCCTTTTTAGCCACTGTCAAACATGGGTGTATACTTTCTTTTGCCCGACAGTTTAGTACAAGCGGCCACACATACAACACGTGCATGTGTGCAGGTGGGCTATGTAAGCGCAGTACTCTTTAAGGCGACGTTAAACACCGTTTTACATCCCCTCACCCTCAGAAGGAATGGCGACTATGGCGTCCAGTCCAGATTGTTTTCGACGTGACTGCTTATTTGTCCGAGCTGACTTCGTTAATTTGCCATTTGGAAAGAAATCACAACTGTTTTCCCTGCCTTCTCACCGCCTCCGTGGTCTAGTGGTAGAGCGTCTGCCCTGAAAGCGGAAGGTTCGGAGTTCGACCGCCGGCCGCGTCATACCAAAAGACGTTTACAGATGGTCCTTGTTGTTACCCTGTCTGGCGCTCGGCATTAAGGGGCTAACACAAGGACTGGTCGGCTCAGAGTCAGTATACTGTGTCTGAGTGGGGTATTCATGTTAAACTGCGGCATGGTATCTCAGTGGGCTAGCACTATAAATCGGCATCAGTCCGGACTAGTACAAGCACACACACACACACACACACACACAAACACACAGACACACACACACACACACACACACACACACACACACACACACACGTGCATGCACGTCGCTATATAAGTGCAATAATCTTGAACGCGACGGTAAACCCCATTTTACCTCACCTCACCTCCCTGCCTTCTCCTGACAAGTGATAGTTTAAAACCCCATACTGTTTTCACTGAGATATTTATTGGCCTAACTGGTACTCTGAGCAATAAGTAATTTGTTCCCACGTAAGGATTCTTGTAACATTTACCCAAATCGTAAATTAAAAATAGAGAATATTAGCATCGTTTTCGCATATCACTGACCCTATGGTCTTACAAAAGCGAAAATAACAATTTAAAGATCTAATGTATTATCATTTCGACCACTGACCAAAGGTTTTGAGAAAACATATCTGTTCACCCAATTTTAGATAAAGAAAAGATAGTGAGGGATTGTTTCAGTCAATGCCTCAAGACATATAATATTGTTTCATATTAAAATTTTACTCTTATAGACTATAGATATGGGATACTTTGCAAATTGTGTTTCTTGACTTTCCACTCATATAGGTGACGCTTCTGCTACTACGACTACTGCTACAACTACAACTACTGCTGCTGCATCTATTACTACTAAAATACATAGCACAACTCTCAAAGTGCGGCACCGACAAAACGAGATATAACCCACAACGCAGGCGTTGATCCAGTTGGCGAGCTTGCCCGTATAAAAACAGGCCACCTGATTGTCGGCATTGTCAAGAAGCGCCTTTAAAATAATTACAAATACGCGATGCATATGGTCAACTCGAAACGCACACGTTAACAAGTGCGTGAGATGAAATGAGATTCACCTTCGACTTTAACATAATGCATGGGATATTTATTTAAATTCACTTTACACTCAATTAATTTAATCCATTGTATAAACCGTCATTACACTCAATTAATATAATCCATTGTATACACCGTCATTACACTCAATTAATATATCAATTGTATAAACCGCCATTACACACTCAACTAATATAATCCATCGTATACAACGTCATTACACTCAATTACTTTAATCAATTGTCACAAGGGATAAACATTTCAAATCATCTTCTCTAAAGGATCTTTTTAACAATATTAATTCTGATAATAAATTTTTTAACGAAATGAAATTGTATATTAAATAGTGATAATATATCTCCTGTATAAAATGAATGACCTTTTAAAATTGGTAGACTGAATTTATATCTGAGTTTGTTACTTGCTGTATCATCAAAGGGGGTTGACGTAGTGTAAAATTATTGTCCCCCGGAGAGGATATAGTAAGTCCATATCATTCAAAGAATAGTTCTGCCTACTACTCTTTTAACACCTAGTATACTTGTAATTTTAATTTTAATTTGGCGTACAATCGCCAGTTGCTGAAGGGATGATGTAAATCCTGCTGTGTTCCATGCAGGAAGCTAAGGTACTGTAAGTCCCCATGGTTCCTAGCATGGTGATCTACTTTCAGTTGCTGGCGATCTCCAGCCTGTTTTTATACTATGATGTTATGTTTAGTGCTATCAATTTTATGATTCCATACTAGTTTAAAGTCTAATTCTGTGATAAGTCTGTCCTTCGTTGACAGGTTTTTATACGTTTAATAGTATTTATAATCTTTAACCTTTGATAGTCACGATATGGCTGAAATATTGCCGATGTGACTTAAAACTTAACTCACTCACTCACTTAATCCATTGTATAAATCATCATTACACTCAATTAATGTGATCCACTGTATAAACCGTCATAACACCTAATTAATTAAATCTACTGTAGAAACCGTGATTACACTCAATTGCTTTAAGCCATTGTATAAACCATCATTACACTCAATTAAATTAATCTAGTGTGCCAACTGTCATTCTCATCATCCCATCTTAATTGTGTAAGTTTCCATCTTATTACAACTGGCTTCACATGTTAAACATGTTTTCGATTATAACTGACTTGTTATTTATTGTATAATAGATCTTCTGAGGGTTGTGACAATGAAGTGGCGAGAGGGTCGTGGAGTATGTTCAGGGTCTGGCGATCTCAGACACGAGGCAGCCATTGTGATCACAAGCAATAGGTTGATGTTAAAAAACGAAGAAAATGAAACAGGTAAAATATTATTTAAATATATCATAATTTTATTTCATATACCGGGATTGGCGCCACTCCAAGGGATTACGCAAGTTAGTCAACCGTCCATTAGTGTTGGGGAGTGTCCATTAGGGTATGATTTACCTAGTATTAATTTTGTTCTACCACTTCGCTTTTTAACATCAACCTAGTTCTTGTACTTTGCCTCGTTGTCTGAGATCACCAGACCTTGAACACATTACCCGGCCCACAAACT